CCCGCCCCCTCCTGCCTCCGGCAGAGCCTGGGGAGGGCCTCGTGGGGGTGACAGGGCTGTGCCCAAGGGGCAGGGGCAAGGGTACCCTACATAGAAGCGGGGTTTCAAGGGCGCCTCTTCCCAGGAGGAGCCCTGATTGGGGTGGGGGTCAGGGAGAGGGCGGGGTCATGGTCTCCAGCCGCTGATTTTCATCCGGTGACTTCTCTGCCCCCTCCCCCCTCCATTTGCCCATCGCGGGGAGAGGGTGAGCTGACAGGGGCTTCCTAGTGCCCTGTCTAGGGGTGTCCCCGGATCCTGCACCTCCAAGTGACGGACCCTGCACCTCCAAGTGACGGACCCAGAGGGCACAGCGCTTGGGAGCGGCCAGGAAGAGGGGGGACAGCCCAGGCGGTCCCCGCCTCTCTCCCCTGCTCTGTGCCCCGGACCCCAGCTAGGTGGAGCCTTGTCCCTGGGTCCCACTTGGCTGGGCTGTTTGTTCTGAGGCCAGAGGTGGCGGCAAAGATGCCTGAAAGGGGGCAGCCTGGGTGTGAGGCCGCGGCTGACACGGCCGTTCGTCCTGCGGGACTCGGGTTCCGTGTGTGACCTGCAGGTGGAGAGGTTTCTGTGGGGACCAGGCCCGGGAGGGAGCGTTTCCAGCTACGTGCCAAGGGTCGGGGTGGTCCTTCTTCAGGGCAGCACTGCCTGGCACCGGCAGGGGTGCAGGGGGGACAGCGTGGGGAGGAGTGGATGCTGGGAGAGCAGGCTGTCCCTGTGGGTCACCCCTCCTGCTCAGAGACAGGCCCCCCTGCCGGGGGACAGCTCTCCTTCTCCAGGTGCAGTGACACGCTGCTGCGGCCGAGGGAGGCGTCCCCCCCCTGCCTGGCAGGCTCCCCAGGGCCCCCGGACACTGGCCCCGGCTCGGGGTCAGCACTGCCCAGCGCTCTGCTTAGGCCTGTGTTCGGTCACTAGGCACCTCTGAGCAGTACTGCGTGTCTGGCCAGGGGGTGGGCACTCAGGCAGCTTCAGCCTCAGGACGGACGATTGAGGGTCCCAGGCACCCAGGGGTGAGCGCTGGCCCTGTGACCTGGACATGACCCTGCCAGCGCACACTGAGTGGCGCGGGAGT